GAATGTAAAATAATGCAGCTATAATAGAAAATACTACGGCAGTTCCTCAAAACACTAAACATAGAATTACCATATGACCTGGAAATTCCACTTCTGGATATATACACAAAAGACTGAAAAGCAGGAACTTGAATAAACATTTGTGTACCCATGTTCATAGCAACATTATTCGCAATTCCACCAGAAGGTGGAAACAGTCTGAACGTCTATCAGCAGATGAATGAATAAACAAAATGTGGCATATGCATACAATTAAATATTGTTCAGTCTTAAAAACCAAAAAAATTCCAATACATGTTACAACATACCAACTTCCAGGACTGCTGAAGCTCAAGGATGAATCTTGAGGACCTTATGCTAAGTGGAATAAGGAAGATTCAAAAGGACAGATGTATGATTCCACTTTTGTGAGAAATAGTCAAATTCATAGAGACAGAAAGTAAAACAGTGGTTAGCATGAACTGGGGGGAGGTGGAGTGAGGAGTTATTGTTTAATGGTATAGAGTTTCCTCTTGGGATGATGAAAAATTTCTGGAGTGGATAGTACTGATGGTTTATACATAACATAAAGTTTATGTTTACCACAATAAAAAACAGAGGAGAATACAAGAGAAAGATGTACAAAGGCAATTCACAAAACTACAATAAAATGACCTATGGATGTATAAAATATTTAATTTCATAAGTAATTTAAGGAGATATAAAAGATCAAGTTATCATTTGTCATCTATAAAATTGGAGAGACAATTTTACTTTAATATCTAACCATACTTCAGATAGTGATTGCAGCCATGAAATTAAAAGACGCTTACTCCTTGGAAGGAAAGTTATGACCAACCTAGATAGCATATTAAAAAGCAGAGACATTACTTTGCCAACAAAGGTCTGTCTAGTCAAGGCTATGGTTTTTCCAGTGGTTGTGTATGGATGTGAGAGTTGGACTGTGAAGAAAGCTGAGAGCCGAAGAATTGATGCTTTTGAGCTGTGGTGTTGGAGAAGACTCTTGAGAGTCCCTTGGACTGCAAGGAGATCCAACCAGTCCATCCTAAAGGAGTTCAGTCCTGGGTGTTCACTGGAAGGACTGATGCTGAAACTCCAATACTTTGGCCACCTCATGTGAAGTTGACTCAGTGAAAAAACCCTGATGCTGGAAGGGACTGGGGGCAGGAGGAGAAGGGAACGACAGAGGATGAGACGGCTGGATGGCATCACTGACTCAATGGACATGTGTTTGGGTAAATTCTGGGAGTTGGTGATGGACAGGGAGGCCTGGTTGCAAAGAGTCAGACACGACTGAGTGACTGAACTGAACTGAACTGAATAGTGTAGGTATTATATCGGTATGCTCATAATAGCAGTATAAATGTGTACAAACTCTCCAGAAAGCATTTGTAAATTGTGCAAAATGTTTTAAATATTCACATTTGTTGGCCCCAAGTCCAGTGTTTCTAGAGAAACAGCTGGAGATGCAGGCGTCTGGATAACCGCAGAGGGCACCAATGGAGCAAAGAACACAGTGAGGTGGGGGGGGGGGGGGGGCAAGCCCTGAGAAAACATGTGGCAGAGAATTCCAGGGCAAGAGAAGAGCTAGTGTGAAGGACCCAGGACTGGAATATACCAGGTGTGTTTGAGAAACAGCAAGGAATGCTGTGTGCCTGGCTGGTGTGGAGTGAGTAAGGGCCTGAGTGTTGGGAAACAAGGTCAGAGTCAGTGGGGAAAGATCAGGAAGGGCCTTGAAAGCCATGGCAAGAACTTTGGACTTTACTCTGAGGGGGCTGGGAACAATTGGAAGGTTCTAAGCAGAGGCCATGGTCTAAGTTTTAAAAAGACAGTTACTTCATCTCAGCGGCCTCCTCAGTTGGTTGGTGGTAGCCTCAGTTCTGAGACTAGTCGGAGGCACCCAAGCCGCAGGCCCGTGTGCTAGCTGCAAGAGAGGTTTCGAATGTGGGTGTCTGGCATTTTCAGATCCAGCTGGGCTGGAGAAACAGTCTTTGCCTTCATCAAGACTTATAACTCAGGGAATCCTCCAAACACAGGGAGGTTCCGACGCTCAGTGGCTAAAACAAATGACAAGTATCAGTTGTACGTAACAGAACCCATTTTCTCACATAATAAGCTGCTCAGAGGGAGACAGTTCAAGGCTGGGGACAGTGACTCAGTGTCAATACTGTCACTCTGCCTGTGCCCCATGCTGACTTATTGCCTAATGGGTTGAGGTGGACCCAGCCAGCACATCTAGGTTCAAAACAGGAAGAAAGGGGCAAAACTGTACCAACTGTGTCTTTTCCCCCTTTAATCAGGAAAGCAAAAGCCTTTCCAGAAACCCTGCAACATCTACTATGTCTCATTGACCAGAATTGTGTCATGAAGCCAACCCTGGAAACAATGGAAGGTTTAGCTGCCTCCTCTCCCAAAGTGCGATTTTGTAATAACAAAAAAGGAACAGATGGAGATACAACGATGAACACTGTTTCCTCTGATAAGCACTGATCCTGAAATGGTGAGCAGCATCACCCTTCTTCTCCCCACGTTTCTCTAATCTCACGTGGCCCTGAAGCCAACTTCGCAGGGACAGGACCCCTCAGTCCCCAAGCACAAGCAGGGGTGTGGTTTGTTGTCAGGAGTGATGGTCACTGGCTGCAGACAGTTGGGCTGGAGAGCCGCTAGCCCCATTCTCCTCAGCCTCTGTGATGTCACACTGGAACTCCTTTTCTTCCACACTGGGCTGTGGCTTCCAAGGCTGTTGTGGCCATGGGGCTCCTGGAGCCTGAGGCGGGAAGGGAGTCTGGTGACTCTCATCTCCCCTGGGATCACAGGAGGTCCAGCCATGCCGCTCTTGAAAGATGTCATGCCGCTCATGAAGGATCCCCACCCCCACTTCAGGCCCCACTTCCCTGGGTCCTCCCAAGCTTATTTGCTGCTTTCAATGTGGTGCTGCTGGTTATTTTCAGTGGCCTTTTCTTTGCATTTCCGTAAGTCTCCCACACAAGCTATCAGGGTTCTTACAGCGCAACAGAAAGGAAAGCAGATAATGATAGTACAGAGGCAGGGGGAGTGCAGAAGGGGGGTCAGGAAGGCAGGATGTTCTAGGCAAAGGGTACAGAGGTAGAGAGGGCTTGGTGCATTTGGGAGCTGCAGGTGGTTGGTAATACAGGGTGACTGGTGGAGTCTCTATGGATCTGTCACAAGCCTGGATATTTAGAGCAAGGTTTATGGTCTGTGGGTGCTGACTAGGTGAATTGGAGCTTCAGGGCTGAGTCCTGCTCTTGTCTCAGTTGCAGGTGGTTGGCCCAGAACGGGGAATGGGCATTTCCCGTCATCACAGGCCTCCTCTTTATCCTCACCTTCTTCAGTCTCATTTCACTCAACTTCTCAGACCCGGGCATCTTGCATCAAGGTGAGACACTGGTCCCCTGGGGCTCCTGCCTGCAGGGGTGATCCCTAAAGTGCTCCTCCCATCTATCCCACCACCACTGGGGCCTTAGGGCTCCTTCATCCCACGTCCTCATTTGCTCAGGCCCTGCACCTGTCACTTCATTTCTCAAGCCATGGAGGTGTGAAAAAAAAAACAGAATCTTGGAGGTTTTCCAGTTTCCTTGGAGGGGGGGGCCAGGGCAGAAGTTTCTTGGGAGAGAAGCCAGCTCTTCACAACCACTAAGTTTTCTCTTCCTCCTCCCTACCACACAAATTCCGTGAAGCGTTGGTCACAGTACTGAAGGCCTGAGTTCACAAAGAACTCCTCAGGCTGGAAACCCACTTTCCCTGTGACTGCCAGTCTCTCTAAGCTTGGCCAGCTTGTTCAGTGGGGACTAAGGATTCCCCTGCCACCTGGTCCCCATGCTTCCTGAGCCCAGGGATGCCGTGGGGCTGCCCGCCCCCACCCTTTGCTGCAGCAGACTGATGGAAGGGCCTCCGGCTGCTGCTCAATCCTTTTCCCATGCCAGGATCCAATGAACAGGGCCCCCTGATGGTACCTGTGATATGGGTGAACCACAGGGCCTTCCGCCTGCAGTGGTGCCAAAAGTGCTGCTTCCACCGCCCGCCCCGGACCTACCACTGTCCCTGGTGCAATATCTGTGTGGAGGTAAGTGCCCCTCTCTCCTGCCTACCTACGCTCCCAGCACCTGTCTGGGACCAGGAGGCCTACTCATACGGGAGCCAGTGGTGGGCGTGAAACTACTTCTGGGACTGCTAAAGATTAAAGGCAGCAGTAATTCCCAGCTACTCTTGATCACTCAGGCAGGTCACTGCCTCTGTGCCTGCACCTTTTCCGGGAGGCTGGCCCCTTCCTGCACTGGTGCTGACATTGTAGAGGGGCATCCACATCTATGCTGGGCCTGGTCAGACACCGCTGTTCTTCCTAGGGCTCAATGACACTGGACACCCAGATGCCCTCGGCAGGCTGCAGGACCAGCTAGGGGAACATCCTGCCTCTTCTGAATGTCTAGGCCAGAGGGTCTCCTGGTCTCCTGGGTTGCAAGTGCACAGTCTGCAACAGTTCAGCAATGTGCTGTCTTAACTGGTCCTTACAATTCTGGGAGACTGGCTGGGCAAGGGTGTTACTATTAGGCTCATCCAATGGATGAGAAAACAGATGCCCAGAGATATCCTATGTCCTGTCCGAAGTTACACCAGGATTTATCCCAGAGAAGACCAGGCAGGTCCCGTCTCCAAAGCCTCTTGACATGATGTACAGCTCTACGAGCCCTGCGGTGCTCTAACTGGGGGAATGCCAGCAGGTTAAGGACTTTGAGGTTCAGATTCTCCCTAGGAATGGGAACCACTTTGTGAGGTCAAGGGCAGGTGGTTTAGAGGGAACGCATAAGATTTGGGGGTGATGAAAAAAAAAAGATTTGGGGGCGACGGAGCCTGGATCAGAGATTGGGTCAAGGCCTGAGCCCTCTCCCTCTTGCCTAGGACTTTGACCACCACTGCAAGTGGGTCAATAACTGCATCGGTCACCGCAACTTCCGCCTGTTTATGCTGCTTGTCCTGTCCTTATGCCTCTACTCGGGTGCCATGCTGGTCAGCTGCCTGATCTTTCTGGTGCGCACGACCCACCTGTCCTTCTCCATGGACAAGGCCATCGCGTATCCGCTGGGCTGTGGGGACCAACGGCCCAAACAGTGAGAGCGGCGAGGAGCTGTCAACAGAGGGGCCGGGTCACGGGGCGGGCAGAGCTAACGGTGAGCAGGGTTAGACGGTGAAGCCGCCTGAGAGGACCGGTCTGGGACGAGGTGAGGGTAGGCAGGGTCAGAGAGATGGGTGGGGATGGGAGGAACTGCGAAGGGGTGAGCTAGCAGGGTCAAGGATGGAGAGTGCTAGAGGTGGCGCGGGCCTTAGGCTGCAGGGGGAGAGGGGAGCGGTGGGCGGGCTTGGTGTGGGCGGGGTTAGGTGAGGGGCGGGGCCAAGGAGGTCCGTCCGGAGGCGCTGCTCCTTAGCTGCTCTGCAGCATCTTGGTTGCTGTACCCGCCGCCGGCTTCCTGGTGCCCCTCTTACTGTTGCTGCTGGTCCAGGCCATGTCGGTGAGCGCGGCGGAGCGCTCCTACGAGGGCAAGGTACGTGGGGACGAGCGGGGCGCCATGATGGTATCGGGCGGTGGGTGGTCAGCTTACCCCTCCCGGGCTTCCGCACTTTCCGCTTTCTCCTTCGCCTTGGTCTTTGATGGCCTGAGCTCTCTCGAAGGTGCCTCTTGAGCCCTTCCAGACGCAGATTCAGCTTAGATCTCACCTCCTTCCGGAGCTCGGTATTCACTCTTCTTGCGTCGAAGGTGCACTAGTGAGCGCTAGGCCGCGTGCGCGTTATTTTGAGCCATGGGCGTGGAGGCGAGTAAGGCTGCATCCTGCGCGTGTATTAACAAGGGACCGGAAATCAGAGTAACTCACCGGACAGCAGCGAACGCGCTGAGAGAGGGGCCTGCAGACGTTGTGTAGCGCAAAGTCAGAGCCCTGAGAGTTCAGTGAGGACCGCGGTGTTGAGTAGGACATGTCACTTAGCGGTTTTGGACGGCAGAAGGCGAGGCATTGCAGTGAGGGGCAAAGATTGCAAAAAAGCCCGGAAGCCTGAAAGTCTGTGGAATGTTGGTAGGAGGATGAGGGGACATTTCTAATTGCACCAGGTGTGGCATGCACAATCAAGTGATCTGCCAGGGATTGTCCAGATTTAAAAGGCAAAGAAGTCAGGTGGATAATTTAATCTTGGTGCAATGGAAACTTGGAAGCCTTGATAGGATTTTTTTCTTTACACACAGTAAAATTCACCCTTTTTAGTGCACAGTTGTATGAATTTTGACAAAAATACAGTTCTGTAACCACTGCCATAACCAAGATTTAGAATAGCTCCATCCACCCTCCCCTCACTCCCCAAATTCCCTCATGGACTTTTGTAGTCCATTTCTCTCCCTACTTGCAGCCTCTGGCAATTACAGAATTGTTTTCTAGCCCAATAGTTTTTCCTTTATCGGAATTTCATATAAATGTAATCATAGCCTTTTGAGTCAGCTTTCATTCACTCAGTGTAATCCATTTGAGATTCATCCAGGTTGTTTCCCATATCAGGAGTTTCCTCCTTTTTATTTGTGTAGTATTTCATTATACAGTTGTGTCACAGTTTGTTTACTCATTTTCACCAATTGAAGGATATTTGCGTTGTTTTGAGTTTTGGTGATTACAAATGAGGCAGGACAGGAGAATTTTGGATCCCACCAAAAAAAAGATACCCCGTGTCCAAGGGCAAAGGAGAAGCCCCAGCAAGACGGTAGGAGGGGCAAAATCACATTTAGAATCAAACCCCATACCTTCCAGAGACCCTTGGAGGGCTCAAACAAACCTTGTGTGCACCAGGACCCAGAGACCTCACAGAGACTGAGCCAGAACTGTGTTTGAGTATCTCCTGTGGAGATACAGGTCAGCAGTGGCCTGCCGCAGGGGCAGGGGCTCTGGGTGTAGTAGACCTCAGTATGGCATAAGCCTTCTTGGAGGAGGTTGCCATTAACCCCACCACAGAGCCACCAGAACTTACACAGGACTGGGGAAACAAACTCTTGGAGGACACAAACAAAACCTTGTGCACACCAGGACCCAGGAGAAAGGAGCAGTGACCCTACAAGAGACTGACCCAGACTTGCCCGTGAGTGTCCAGGAGTCTCTAGCAGAGGCGTGGGTTTGCTGCAGGGTCGGGGGCACTCAGTGCTGCAGTGCATGCATGGGACCTTTTAAGGGAGGTCACCATTATCTTCATTCAGTTCAATTCAGTCACTCAGTCGTGTCCGACTCTTTGTGACCCAAAGGACTGCAGCACACCAGGTTTCCCTGTCCATCACTAACTCCCGGAGATTACTCAAACTCATGTTCATTGAGTCGATGTTGCCATCCACCCATCTCATCATCTGTCGTCCCCTTCTCCTCCTGCCTTCAATCTTTCCCAGCATCAGGGTCTTTGCCAATTAATCAGTTCTTCGTATCAGGTGGCCCAAGTATTGGAATTTCAGCTTCAGCATCAGTCCTTCCAATGAACACCCAGGACTGATCTCCTTTAGGATGGACTGGTTGGATCTCCTTGCAGTCCAAGGGACTCTCAAGAGTCTTCTCCAACACTACAGTTCAAAGCATCAGTTCTTCGGCAGTCAGCTTTCTTTATAGTCCAACTCTCACATCCATACATGACTACTGGAAAAACCATAGCTTTGACTAGATGGACCTTTGTTGGCAAAGTAATGTCTCTGCTTTTTAATATGCTGTCTGGGATGGACATAACTTTTCTTCCAAGGAGCAAGCATCTTTTAATTTCATGGCTGCAGTTACCATCTGCAGTGACTTTGGAGCCACCCAAAATAATGTCTTTCACTGTTTCGCCATCTATTTGCCATGAAGAGATGGGACCAGATGCCATGATCTTAGTTTTCTGAATGTTGAGCTTTAAGCCAACTTTTTCACTCTGCTCTTTCACTTTCAGCAAGAGCCTCTTTAGTTCTTCACTTTTCTGCCATAAGAGTGGTGTCATCTGCATATCTGACGTTATTGATATTTCTTCCAGCCATCTTAATTCCAGCTTGTGCTTTATCTAGTCCAGCATTTCTCATGAGGTACTCTGCATATAAGTTAAATAAGCAGGGTGACAATATATAGCTCTATACATTCAGCAAAAACAAGACCGGGAGCTGACTGTGGCTCAGATCATGAATTCCTTATTGCCAAATTCAGACTGAAATTGAAGAAAGTAGGGAAAACCACTAGACCGCTCAGGTATGACCTAAATCAAATCCTGTATGATTATACAGTGGAAGTGAGAAATAGATTCAAGGGATTAGATTTGATAGAGTGCCTGAAGACAGAGGTTTGTGACATTGTACAGGAGGAAGGTTTCAAGACCGTCCCCAAGAAAAAGAAATGCAAAAAGGCAAAATGGTTGTCTGAGAAGGCCTTACAAATAGCTGAGAAAAGATGAGAAGTGAAAGGCCAAGGAGAAAAGGAAAGATGAACCCATTTGAATGCAGAGTTCCAAAGAACAGCAAGGAGAGATAAGAAAGCCTTCCTCAAAGAAATAGAGGAAAACAATAAAAGGGGAAAGACTAGAGATCTCTTCAAGAAAATTAGAGATACCAAGGGAACATTTCATGCAAAGATGGGCACAATAAAGAATAGAAATGGTATGGATGTAACAGAAGCAGAAGATATTAAGAGGTGGCAAGAATACATAGAAGAACTATACAAAAAAGATCTTCATGACCCAGATAACCACAATGGTGTGATCACTCACCTACAGCCAGACATCCTGGAGTGCAAAGTCAAGTGGGCCTTAGGAAGCATCACTACAAACAAAGCTAGTGGAGGTGATAGAATTCCAGTTGAGCTATTTCAAATCTTAAAAGGTGATGCTGTGAAAGTGCTGCACTCAATATGCCAGCAAGTTTGGAAAACTCAGCAGTGGCCATAGGACTGGACAAGGTCAGTTTTCATTCCAATCCCAAAGAAAGGCAATGCCAAAGAATGTTCAAACTACCACACAATTGCACTCATCTCACATGCTAGCAAAGTAATGCTCAAAATTCTCCAAACCAGGCTTGAATGGTACATGAACCATGAACTTCCAGATGCTCAAGCTGGATTTAGAAAAGGCAGAGGAACCAGAGATCAAATTGTCAACATCTATTGGATCATCGAAAAAGCACAAGAGTTTCAGAAAAACATCTATTTCTGCTTTATTGATTATGCCAAAGCCTTTGATTGTGTGGATCACAACAAACTATGGAAAATTCTTAAAGAGATGGGAATACCACACCATGTGACGTGCCTCCTGAGAAATCTGTATGCAGGTCAAGAAGCAACAGTTAGAACTGGACATGGAACAACAGACTGGTTCCAAATCAGGAAAGGAGTATGTCAAGGCGATATACTGTCACCCTCCTTAATTAACTTATATGCAGAGTACATCATGGGAAGTGCCAGGCTGGGTGAAGCACAAGCTGGAATCAAGATTGCCAGGAGAAATATCACTGACTCAATGGACATGAGTTTGAGTAAACTCTGGGAGTTGGTGATGGACAGGGAAGCCTGGCATGCTGCAGTCCATGGGGTTGCAGAGAGTCAAACATGACTGAGCGACTGAACTGAACTGAAATGGGGCCATTATAAATGTTGGTGTACAGGCATGTGGATATAGGTTTTCATTTTTTGGGAGGAGGGATATGTACTTAAGAGTGATGTTGCTGTGTCATATAGTAACTGTTTAACTTTATAAGAAACTGCCAAACTGTCTTCCAAAATGGCTGTACCACTTCAATTTCCATAAGCAGTGTATAGGAATTCCAATTACTCTGTATCATTAACATTTGGAATTGTCATTTTTTAAAAAATTAAGCCGATCTAAGAAATGTGTAGTGATATCTCATTGTGGTTTTAATTTGCATTTTCCTAATGACTAGTGATCTTGAACATCTTTTCATGTTCTTATTTGTCATCAGTTTATTTTTTTTTTAAAGTATTTATTTATGTAACTCTGCTGGGTCTTAGTTGCAGCTCATGAGACATTTGATCTTCCTTTTTTTTTTCCCCATTTATTTTTATTAGTTGGAGGCTAATTACTTTACAACGTTTGATCTTCCTTTTGGCTTGTGGGGTCTTTTAATTGCACGGCATTCAAACTCTTGGTTGTGACATGTGGGATCCAGTTCCCTGACCAGGGATGAGTCTCTGAAATGTTGGTAGGGCCTGCTGCATTGGGAATGCGGAGTCTTAGCCACTGGACCACCAAGGAAGTCCTGCCATCATTATATCTTTGATTAAAAGTGTTCCAGTCTTTTGACCATTAAAAGTTGGTTTGCCTTCTTAAATATTGAGTGTTAAGATTTCTGTGGTTCAGGTGATAAAGAATCCGCCTGCAATGTGGAAAACCTGGGTTTGATCCCTGGGTTGGGAATATTCCCTGGAGAAGGGAATGGTTACCTACTCCAGTATTCTGGCCTGGAAAATTCCATGGACTGAATAGTCCATGGGGTCACAAAGAATTGGACATGACTGAGTGACTCTCACTTCACTTTTCACTTCAAGATTTCTATATC